AGTAGGTCTTTTTCGATACTGCCATTTATTATTCAAAAATGATAATGATTAGTCTTAACAGTTATTCTATACTTAAGCTGCATTTTTCATTAGTAAATACCTCTAACTTTTTTCTAAGTATTTATTAATTTTTTCCTAAAAGGATCAGATCCCGGGTCCTGGTATCTTGATCTGAAATCTGGCAGCGGAAGTGCAGGCCCAGTTTCTGCAGGACAAAGCGCCGCTGAATTCGATGTCAGGTTTGAGATGTCTAGTGAAGATTTTAATAAAATGTTTAATGGTCAAATGAGCCCAACCTTAGCCTTCACTCATGGAAATATGACAATTGATGGTGACATTTTCTTGGCGCTCAAGTTAGACAAAATAATGAAAAAGCTGTTTTAACCTTAGTGCCAAGGTTTTTGAATATTTTCTAGCCAAAGTTTGAAATGATCAATTCTAATTCCTATTTTCGGAGCAGTTTTATATTTGCTGATTTTTTAGGGCAGTGCAATTATGATCATATCTTCATTATGCTTGAAATATGAACATTTTTACTTTTTTATATACAATAATATACTTATTTAGATTCATTTTTTATTTCCTGGCTTGGGCTTTATGTATTCTCCGCATTGTTGTACCTCCTCCCCGACTTATGCACTGGTACTCGAAAAACAGAGGCAATTAGCATCTTGGTAAAGCTTAGCAAGCTCTTCTCCGAAGTTCGATTGGTGTATGAGCACTTCAACGATTTCAAGTGAATGCAACTGAATTTATCCTGTCATTGAGATGTGGGGCCGTTATATGCATATCGGACTATTATTCACTTTCCCAGCATTCCTAAACTAAACTAAATACCTATTTTGATGCGCTTTATCGAAATATTTCCTTAATATCAATGGCTTCTTAAAATAAAAATGATGGTTGCATCAATTTTATGCTTTTTAGCACAAGTAGGTTTCGATGGTTGCTCTCAAAGGAGGACTTTCTCATTTTTCTCCCATTAATTTTGAAAGACGATTGGAGCGTAAAATTACTATTTATACCGTCCTTCAGCCCGGTTCTCTTTATCGTGCATAAAAGGCAGCTTCATAACGAGCCTGTAGCTAATTATCCTTAATATATATATAATCCACTTCCTATTATGATTCTATTGCTATATGTCTAGTTAATCATATGTCATACCGTTCAATCGATCTGCTTATGCCAACTGCCGGTCACCATGGTTATGTTTGCCTATCTATTGCTAACCCTAAATTACATCTTCATCTTATCGACTTTAAATAAATCTTTTTTATCATCTATCTCTGTATAAGAACTTAGTAACTTTAGGTGTCATAAGGTTAAGTTTCGAAATTCTGAGCATATCCGTTTTAAAACTGATTTTTTTAAGATCGAACCCCATATAATTATGAATCTCGTGCTTGACTGAAATTTTTCGTAACTTATATTCCTATAAGATCATTTCTTTGGAGATATAATGGCACAGGAATGGTTTGATCGGAGTATATCTCGGTTAGAGACCCAATTTTGGTATATGACGAATAAAAGAAGTCCCAACAAAATTGCCTTTTGAGATTACAATATTAATTACTTATTATACTGAGGGTTTTGTGACAATTCATATAGGATAAATGGTCAACTTCGGCTAAATGTATGGACATATTATATTATGTTAGTCGACTTTAGTCGTTACTGTTAAAATTTAGTTTGCTAAGAAATATGACTTGTGATTTGAGGAATCGAAAAGTAGTACTCTATTACTGTCATCTTATGGGCTTTCATTTGGTATGCGAGCTTGCATAAGTTATGTCATAAATAACTTATAATTCTCATGCGGTATAGTTTATTCGCCACTGTTTTTTTTCGTAGAGCTATGAGATTCTATGCATAGATTAGGCAGTTATAGCCTTAAAGCTGTGCTTTCCTACCAGATTGTCTGATATTTAAAGGATTAGTTG